GCCCGCCCTGGTGGCCGCAGCGGCCGCCTCGGTGAGGCAGAGCCCCGGGCCGGCGCTGGCGCGCCTCGAGGGCCGCGAGTTCGAGTTCCTCATGCGACAGCCTAGCGTCACCATCGGCCGCAACTCGTCGCAGGGCTCGGTGGACCTGAGCATGGGCCTGTCCAGCTTCATCTCGCGGCGCCACCTGCAGCTCAGCTTCCAGGAGCCGCACTTCTACCTGCGCTGTCTCGGCAAGAACGGCGTCTTCGTGGACGGAGCCTTCCAGCGGCGCGGCGCCCCCGCCCTGCAGCTCCCACCCCAGTGAGTGTGAGCCCTGCCTGGGGACCCCCGAGTCCCTCAACTTCGCCCCTGCCCGGCCTGAACTTTGGGGTCACCCCTACCCTGCCTGGGATGAACCCCAGAGCCCCCCACCCCGAATCCGGCTGCCCTGAATCCTTGGGTCATCCATCGTGCCTGGGATAAACCCCACGTCATCTCTATCGTAGACGCCACCCTCTTTGAGCTATCTAGGTCACCTCCGACCCCGATCCCTCCTGGTCTAAACCCTCAAGTCACCCTGCCCCTACCCAGTTGACCCTGGCTCTCCCAAACTACCCACCCCAGTCCACCTGGCCTATATTTGTAGTCCCAGGATGAACCTCTGGGAGTCTTGCCTTGAACTTGGCTGGCCTAAATCTCTAGGTCACCCCTGACCCCAACCCCACCAGGCCTGACATCTTGGGAGAGCCTAATCTCATCCTGGCGACCCATCCTTGCTCATCACAATCCCAACCTCACCTGACTGTAATCTCCAGATACAGCCCTGATCGTGATTTTCCCCACCCCTGCCCTGCCGGGACCCCAGGGTCCTTATACCTCTAAACCTCAAGAGTCCGGCTTCCAGTGGTCATCAGTCCAGCTTGGACCAGTGGGCCTGGGAAGAAGCATCAGGGCTGGGAGGGGGCCGCCTGGGAGGCGCGGGGCACTCGGTAGCCCTGGGTGGGTGTCCCTGGCTGGCAGTCCAGGTGCTGGGGGAAGGTCTGGATGAAGAGGCTTGTGCTCGGTGCATCCTGAGGACAGACACGGGAGGGAGCCCAGGGCCAACACATCTGAGCCCCCTGAGAGTCCCTGGCCTGGCCTGGGTGGTGCCCAGCCTCGCTGAACAGCGAGGTGTACCCTCACTGGGGTGTACGTCCGTTGCTGGGCCCTGCTCTGGGCCGCTCTTCACCCACTTGGCTGGTCCGGACCTTGAGGTCTGCCTGTGCTTTGGGAGAAAGCCTGTTTAATTACTCACTTCCTCCGCAGCACTTTCTTTTTCTATTCTATAATTGCCTCCAACCCTGCTCTAGTATTTGGGTTCCTTCATTGCCGCTAAAGTTCAGGAGTGTCTGACTGTGTCATTAGTTGCTTTTATGAGCACCTTAGGTCCTGGGAGTGTTTGCAGGGGTCCCCCCTAGGCCCTGTGTTCCTCTCCATTGGCTCCTCTTCACGTTGGGCGTGTGAGATGCAGCATTGGACAGCTTTCACCTCCGTGGTGACTCACTCCTGTTAGGGTGTGAGGAGGAAAGTGCACCTTCACGGCCCAAACCTGAAAGGTGTGTGCAGCTCAGGTCAGGACTTGGCCAGTAGCAGTAGTTCTGTCCCATGATGTCACTGCTCTGTTCCCTTCTGTGACCCCTACGCTCCCTCTGTTCAGGGCATCAGATGCATCCTCAGCCAGTCTCCCCCATGAGGAAATGGCAGGCACACCCCCCACTCACCTCCCACCCCTAAGGCCTGTCTCCGCCCCTTTCTGTAACTGCAGGCGCCCCCCACTCGGCAGTGCTCAGGGGCTCCTGTCCAGGACCTGCCTAGATTGTAATGAGGCTTCCTCTCACCCAGGGGTTCATCTCCACTCTCGAGGCAAGTTTGTGCCCACAGGGTTCTGGTCATCCGAGCTGGCCAAGTCCCCGAGTCTATTATTTATGAAATGTTGTTGGTGTACAAGATGCCTTGGAATTTTCGCTCAGGGGAGCTGGTGTTCTCAGTGGGGAGTGTGGCGGAGCACTGGCCTGCTGGAGCTGGTGGTTTAGATGGGCGCGCTGTTCTCTGCGCACTGTGCCCACTGCCTTTATGCGACTTCAGCCACACTCCTGAGCTTACTCCGTGTCAGCAGAGATGTACCCCGTGCGTGGACGGGATGAATGGGTCGAAGGACACCAGTCGGTGCATGTCTGAGTCCGTCCTCCTGGAGAAAGACCATGTGCCGCTGGAAATGTTGGAGCCTGTCCACAAGTCCAGTGGTCTCGAATTCTTTGTTCCCGTAGGAAGCTCAAACCCGAGTAGTCGCATGTACAGGGCAGGGTGCTGTGAACTTGTGTTTCAGGGTGAGATTGAGCTTCTCAGGCCGATCGTATTGAAAATAGCCAAGACATTTCAGTGCATTCAGAGCAAGGAAATTGGATGCCTAGGTTTTTATCATCCGGAGAGAGGAAATAACAGCATATTTTAAACGACTAAAATAATGGCAGTAGTTAGTGTGTCTCTCCTCTCAAGTTTTGGTTCCCAGTTTTGCCATTGGTGTATGAAGCTGTGAGTTTCCTAGCCGTGGCTGAGAGTTCTCTTATTACATGGAATTGTTGACTTGAATCTGTGTGGGTTCAGCGGCTTCAGTTTCTGACTGCGTTATATAGATCCCCATGCGGCGTCCTAGTGCAAACTGTCCTCAGCCACCCCTTCCTTGCCCTTCGGACAGGTGACAGCCCCATGGGTGACATTTATACACACTACACATCCCCCTCTGCAGCTCCCACTCAGGAGGGAAACCAGCACTGACCCCCAGTTGTTGGTGGAAGTGCCTCTTCCCATATCTTCGATGTTTTTAATTATTGGTAGGGGGAAAAAAATTCCCTGATTTATCCTCACAACTTGTGACACAGCTCAGCGCTGGTCTTGTGTGGCGCCGTGTCTGATGCGGGTGGAGGGAGTCTGCACCGGTTCTGATTCTGCCTTCCTGAGGTGGCTTGGTGGGTCAGAGGTGGCAGTGTTTCTCCCAGACCCTGAGCTCCCTGAGGCAAAGCAGAGAATCTGTCACCTTTAATTAACCTCAGTGCAGGAACTGGCTGTCATAGATGACAATGGAGTTGTGTTTGTTGAATGAACAAGTGAACAACTAAACGAACTTGCAGCTTTCATAGGAGCAATTCAGTGACCTAGATTAGGTTCGGTATCCTGAAGTAACAGTGGCAGCTTCCTCTGGTTATATAGGTGTGCGTTGGGGGGGGGGGTTCTTAATGCAGTTGGATATGGAATTTGCATTGGGTGTGACGGGTCAACTTTTTTTTTTTTTTGTCTTTTTGAGTCAGAGTCTCGCTGTGTAGTTCAGGCTGGCCTTGAGCTCACTTTGTAGCCCAGGCTGGCCTCAAACTCGCAAGGATCCTCCTGCCTCAACCTCCCAGGTGCTGGGATTACAGATGTGTGCCACCACGCCCAGCTCTTGACAGGTCGGTTTAAAAGACCATCCTGTAGTGCTCCTCCTTTTCTGCAGCCCTTTTCTGGGTTACTTAAATAGTTGTAGCAAAATCAAGACTTCCTTTTGCTGTAGCTTTGAGTGCTGAGATTCATGGGAGTCTTTGACTTTATCCTTTGCTCTGTTTTCCACATTTTCTGTAGTGAGCATGTGGGGATATTGAACATCTAAGCCAGGGACAGGGCCTTTCCACCGAGCTATACCCCCTCAGTCCTTATTATTTTATTTTTGTATTTTGAATCTGGGTCTCTTGAGATGCCCATATTGGGCCCAAACTCGAAATCCTCCTGCCTCATCCTCCTAATATGATGGGCTGATTATTTTTGTTTTGTTTTATTTTGTTTTTTGAGACAGGGTCTCATTGTATAGTTCAGGCTGTCCTTGCACTCACTGTGTAGCCCAGGCAGCCGCTCCTGCCTCAGCCACCCCAGTGCTGGGATTACAGGCGGGCACCACTGTGCCTGGCTCTACTGTTTTTTAAAGACACTTTTTATTGCAAGCATAAAAATAGAATAATGAACCTCCACGTGCCTGTCACCGCTGTGTCTACAGTTCTACCTCATAGCCCGGTTACACAGAAGTACATCACAGATAGATGGGATTCCTTTTTAAAAATGTAACCACAATGTCATTATCGTACTTAAAAATTAACAGTAAATTCCTCCTATCAGCAGTGGTCACTCCCGTCAGATTTCCCTTTCTGTCTCAGGTTTTCTTCTCTTGGCGTGATACTAGAGGCGGCCGTGGGTCAGGTCGAAACTCAGGGGCTGGCGGGTGTGTCTCTTACCTGGAGTTTCCATCTCACCCTCTTTTGTTCTTGCTGCAGTTTATTCACCGAAGGGACAGGCCACTTGTCCTCTAGCAGTCTCCACATCTCTTACAGATTGGAGTCCTGCACATCCGCTTACTCTGTCCCTCTCCCCTGTCATCCTGTAAATTGGTCGTTGGACCCAGAGATCTGATCAAACTCGTTTGATGGTGGTGGTGGTGGTAGTGATTTTTCGGCCAGAGCTGCCTCATAAATGGTGCTGCATGAGTCTGTCAGATGAAAATGTCTGGTTGGGGCTGGGGATTTAGCTCAGCGGCAAAAGCGCCTGCCTGGCAAGCACAAGGTCGTGAGTTCGGTTCCCGGTACCGGAGAAAAACCAAAAAAA